GATTCTCAAGCGCACCGCTTGTTTCCCGAGAAAGGGGAATAATTAGGGTTTTGAGAAAGAGGAATAATTAGTGTGTTCAGAAAAAAAAGTCGTGTAGCTTAAAGATGCTAATACAAAATGACCAAGTTCACTTCACCTCTCTTTCCTCTCAAGTCAACTTCAGCAGTTGCAGAGTTCGTGTCTTCATATATACTTGACTTATGCGCTATATAACAATAAATAAAAACATGGAAAAAATTAGCCGACCCATATATATGTATGTGTTGCGCAGCCATATGTACAATCATTTCCCGTGATAACTGGCAAAGCCAAAGACATTATTTCATTCTTTGTCTGCTAAAGTGTGTCCACTACCAAATTTCAGCTGCCAAGTGTACCGATCCAAATGCGCCAAATGGAAGCGAGCGATTCATGCAATCTATCTATCTCCCATGACATGGACATGCAAAGGAATGAGCTAGCTAGCAAAGTGTGAGCACCTTAAAGCCTTTTGTTAAGGAGGTTCCTTGCCAGCTATGGTAAGTTTATATATGGCTCGAGAGCTTCCCATTTACATTTTCTTTTTTTCCCAATGTGGGGGAGTTTAAGGTTTTATGTACATTCCTTGGTTGAAATTCCCCTCTAATTAAGCACTTTTCGTAGAAGCTGCTTCTTACATTTATAACTTTACAGCCCGACTCCATATTTGTCACATAGAATTTTCTTTCAAACTTGAAAGCTATTTGACTGAACAATTATTTAAACTACACGTGTGAAAAAGAAATTCCATTTTTAGTGGGTTATTCCTATTCCTATTTGGGTTTCACTTTCCCACTTCCTTTTAATAACACACACTTCAGTTCCAGTTTGATACAACTAGAAGCTACATGCTATGCCTATATATGTCACTATATCCATATATATCTTTTTTTCCCAGGCATTGTTAATTACAGCTAATCAAAAGTAGGTTTCCCTTTTTTTAAGGGTTTTCTTTTCATCGATCTCTTTCTAAAATGAACAAAACTTATATACAACCTTATGCATATAACTTACATCAATATACTTATATGTATCATGTGTGTTATAGGCACAAGGTTGTATATAAATCGGTATCATGACAGAATCTCTCACACTAAAAGTGCTTGGGACCGCAAGTGAAGTACCACTTTGTTAATAAAGAAATCATCAATGTATACTTGTCAAGAAGAACAATCCTCTGTATAAATGTGGGAGTAATCAGGATTTTCCTTTTTCCCACCAGAAAACAACTATTCAAATAATTATAAGGCTATTTGTAGTAAAGGTTCCTAATCTATTCCACGGGTTTAGTTTTCGTTTTTGAACTCTACTAATAGTTTCTTCCGTCCTCGAATTATGTCATTTGTTGCACTAATAGTCATTTTCATTAACTTCAACAATATTTCCGTTAAGTTGAGGGATAAAATAGGAATTTCATCCAAATAAGAAAATACTTTTTTTTTTTTAAAGAGAAACACGTGGCTCCTCAAGAATTGAGGAGGAACCCTCCTTAAAATACCTCGTGACCTATTCACATAATTTCGTGCTTATTATGACAGAACTCTTTAATGATTGATTAAACAATCTTAGTTTTTACTGATGTTTTGCAGAGATGATCTTTATATAGTGATTTATAATATAAACGACACCGATTATAATCACGAAATTTTGTGAATATGTCACCAAGTATTTTGAGGAGGAACTCCTCCTTAACCTTATGGAGCCAAGCTCTTCTCTTTTTTAAATAAATTAGTTTTTTTCTGTATGAAAATATCACTATACCCTTAAATTTTACGGAAAATAAGATTGGAATTAACAGAAGGACCACTTATGCAACGCATAATTAAGTTGAAGGACGGAAGAAACTAATATAAGAATTCAAGGACAAAAACTAAACATGAGGTAAAATTCAGAGACATTTGCTACCACCCATCCTAATTATAAGGATGGTAATTTACTTTGTTCTAATATTAATTCTGCATTTTCATTTCATACATCAGGCTTATTCTTTATGCTTTGAATTTGAGGAAAGGACTAAATTTCAGTTGACGCTTTAACATGATTTTTCCCCATAAATTCCAAATTGCAGTGTGAACGAATAGAAGTCTCTACATCGAAAGAGAATTTGAATATTTGATCAAATTGGAGGACGTGCAGAATCTATCTTCAAACCTTTTAGTTTTACAGCTAATAAGTCATTTTCCTAACAATTTATATATTTTCCGATGACTGTTGGCTTCAATATTAGATGACATATTTTATGCTTGGAACTACTATACTTAACTTGTTTGGCATTGACTACAATCTAATGATATTCTTTTTTATTTATAAGTGGAAAATTTTAAATTCGACTCTAGTGAATGACGAGTTCAATATCAGACTATTATGACTAACTTATTGTGTAGCTTAAAACCAAATCTCTCACCTCACAGTCTATACAATATATGCATAAAACGTGGAAAGGGTAATGCTAAATAGACAATCTATTTAAATCATATTTAGTAAACTATATGACGTGATTTTTTATGATTGCATTATTATTTAATTATTGATTAACGTACTTATTTGCTATTAGTAATACATTATATAGTTTGCAAATATAATCTAACAAGTTGATCTATCTAGTATTATTCAACGTAAAATTGTTTGTCCTCTTTCCCTATTTTTCAACACATTATGATAACATCCTGGGTTGATAAGCTAGTGCTGATATTTGTGTTTTTACAACAGTATTATATTCTGTCCTCGCACATATCTAAATCAAATGTCAATAATTACAGGCAAAACTAGTCGATTATGTGACACTAGCTAGCTAATCCCAAGACTACCTTTCTATTATATATATATATTTATTATTAGCTCAAGCGACTACTCTTTCTTTCAAACTTTTCGTCGATCCAAATTTCAGATCGATAGTGACTTTGATGAGCTTACATATGGTTGAGCATTGAGCACATAACCTTACCTACAAGTGTACTGTATATCCCGTTATGTATATCCAACAATATATGGTTGCATGTGTATGGGCTTTTGTTGTGTATTTTCAAATAATATTGTTTTCGTTTATGTACGGGAAAATTTGTAATCAACTCTTTGTCAATGATTAAAAATAGGATAATACGACGTACATATTCTCTCATGTGCAAATACGATATCTTGATTAAATAAAATGAATGATTGAAACTGTTTAATTTATTACTCTTCATTAAGATCAATCCTACAAAAAAAAAAAATTATTTGAATTGAAGATCATTTAATCCTTCAAATGTATTAAATAGGATAATACGACAAATATATTCTCTCAATTTCTAATCAGATATCTTGACTAAATAAAATGAATGATTGAAACCATTTAATTTATTACTCTTCATTAAGATCAATCCTACAAAAAAAATTATTTGAATTGAAGATCATTTAATCCTTCAAACGTATTAAATAGGATAATACGACGTACATATTATCTCATTTGCTAATAAGATATCTTGATTAAATAAAATGAATGATTGAAACCATTTAATTTATTACTCTTCATTAAGATCAATCCCACAAAAAAAATAATTGAATTGAAGATCATTTAATTCTTCAAACGTATTAAATAAATGAACAATTCATCATGAATATATTATAGTATCTACACCATCTATTTGTTTTATACATTTGAAATTATAACCTTAAAAATGATATCAACTTTAATATTTAACGATAAAATAAACACAAAATTAGAGTTAGTTTTAGAAAGTCTGTAAGGTGGTCCTTCAATCCCCCAACAGTTTGTACAAAAAAAACAAGTGGATTGTTTTTACCAAATTGAATAAAGATGAAATCAAAGCAAAACATAATGACCAAACTTGCTGAAGAAAACACAATGAACAAAGTTGAAATCGAAGCAAAACACATGACCAAAAGTGCAATTTACCTGAAAAATAATTAAACATGTAAAGTTTTTTTCAAGTGTTTATGACCTTTCAAATTGTAACTTGAAGGCATTCACAAAACAAGAACTTTGAGATGATGTGTCATTTGCAACACAATCAAAACAATGTTAATTTTGCATATTGGTGTGTCATAAGACTTGTAAAAACAAAGCAAAGCAAATAAAATACAACCTTAATTAGGAAAAAGGAAACAAAAAAAGGAGCTCCCACTCAATATCTTTTTGGCAAGTGATTCCCACCTACGATTTGAAAAGTTAATTAAATTTTGTAGATAATAACTGGGGAGTGGGGACTAATCCACTATAGCTTTATGTAACTTTGGCCATCTCTAGCCAAGAGTTATAAAGTCACATTCAACCTTAAATTTGATAAAATTAGTCTCCAATCAAAGCATTAAGGGGAATTGAACTAAAAGAATCAAGTTAAATTTGGTCCTAATTTTAATCAAAACTAGAACATGTGTCCAACTAAAATTGGGTGTAAGCATCAGCGAAGTTAAATCCTTAAATTGAGTTCTACAGTGAACTCCAAAGTTGAGATTGCCAATTTGCCAAATTGGAAATTAATTAAGATGATCTTTCCAACTTCCAAGAACCAAACAGTCCAGTCCACAAAATCTCAAGAGAGTTTTTTGGCCTGGTGCAATTCACCCTCACTCTCTTGCAAATTGCAATAAATTAATAAACACAAATAGCATATCTTGCAAATTGCAATAAATTAATAAACACAAATAGCATATATCTGCAATTAAAATAATATTTTAAATAGATATTTTAAATAGTAAAAAAATAAATATTTAAAAGGGAGCATGATAAAATACATGGGGACACTGCATTATAAAAATAATTGTGTCCTTTTCTTTAATTTGTCCTTTACTATATGATATCATCATCACTCTCCCAATATTACCACTCCCCCCACTCAATAATTATTTATATAAATTCTCTCTCCATATTCTCTCTCCCTCCTCCTTCTCAACTTATAAATTGTAATCTCCAAACCCAAACCAACCTAGACTCATTTTTCCTTCCTTCTTTCTCTCTCTAGAAATTTTTGGCTACTCTGTTGCAGTCATTTCAGTGTGATTTCTGTTAGCTCTGTTTTCTGGGTTCTCTTTTGAGAATGTATGCAGAAACTGGGCTTTTGTTCCCATATTTCCAGAACTTTTCTCAAGATTTCCAGCAGCTGGAGGAGTTCTGCAGAGGCCAAAAGTCAAATGCTCCAATGGTACCCATATTCTCTCTCTCTCTCTCTCTCTCTCTCTCTCTCTCTACAAACAAATATATGCACTTGTTTGGTTTTTCTCATAGATTTGCATGATCTGCATTGAATTGATTATTCTGAGATGGGTTTTAGCTGAATTAGTAGAAAGTTTGTGAATTTGGGTTGCTCTCTTGTGATCTACTGTGTACTCTGTATGATACCATCAACAACCCTCTAATCTCGAGAAAATGGGAACTATTTATGGATTCATTGTTTGTCAGAACCAAAGAAGCTCAAAGTTCAAGTCTTTGGCATATATTTATGTTCATTGGTTTAATTTTTCACCTAATTCCCTGTTTGGTTGCTGAGAAAACCAGTGGGAAAATGCCAAATTTGGGGAATTCAAGTTAGGAAGTGGGAAAGTGAGAAAATTGATAATTTCTCTGACTAATTGTAAGTAAAGTTGGAAGATGTAACAATCAAAACAGGGCACAAATGTCAAATTTTAATCATAAATTTCAATCCAAAACACTGTTTCTGTGTTTCCAGAAAAAACAAAATTGGAAAAAGAAAAGGAGAATAAAAATATCTTGGTCTGTACAGTCTTGTTTTTATTTCACCAGGGCATGCGATGGAACAGCTGGACTTTGCTTTATGTGCTGGATAAAGAAGGAAAAAGCTTTCTTTTCCTCTAAATGCAATCTGAATGCTAAAAAGGAAAAGACTGACTTTGTTTTTTTCACTTTGGTGGTAAAAAGTAAAAAAGTTGAATCTTCATGGAACTGTAACTTATGTGTTCAAAGAATTACTTTGCAGTAAAATTTGTATGAAACTTTGAGCAGTAGTGATTGCTTTGGTCCCCAACGATTAGTGAGTTTCATAAAGTTGAGAGCTTGCCAACTTTTCCTCTTTCTTTGTTTTGGTCTGAAATTTTAGGTGTTGCCACAATCACTTTGATGTTAGTTTAGGTCTGAAGTTCGGTTCTTTCTTTGTCTAATGCAGAATTGCTTCTCCGAGGCCTCGATGATCTCGGAATATGACCTGGGAGGAGAATGGGATCTGTTCAAGGCTCCAGAGCCTATCATCGAAGAACCGGCCATTGGCCTTGATCCCATGACAGCAGTCATTTCAATGATATCTAGCGGCGAAGATGTCACCTCCTCTCAAGGACTCAAGGTTGCAGACCTTGAATCACTTCAAAGCGAGCAGCTTTTGAATGATGTCTTCTATGACAAGGATCTTTTGGGGAAAGATGCGATAGGAGCACCACTTTCTGAGGCCGTAGATATCAAAATTTCTGTTTTGACAGTGGATGGAAATCATATTCAGGAAAACAAACCGCCTCGCGACGTGTCATTCCAGAAGAGTGTGAGCTCAGGATGTTTAACCTCAATGGACTGGATGCACGGAACTTCAACGAAGGCAAGTTTTCTGGATTTTCCTGGAATGGATTTGAGTGCTTATGGGATTCGTCGGGCATACAGTGAAGGTGATATTAAGGTCAGATATAGTTAGTTTAGTTATTTTATGCTATATATCTTAGGTTTGAAAATATTCATATTCTTACAAGAACTAAAATATTACCTATCTACACAACAACGATTCGGTTGAGAAGAGGTTATGAATTAAAAGGTCATACAAACAATGATTTAAATCCTTCTCTCATAGCCTTTAGACCGTCTATAACGAAATGAACCCCATTCCTTACCATTCTTCGGTCTATTAAACAATGCAATGCCTAAGAGAACTAACCAAACATTTTCCAGCTGAGAGATTGATGCATTTGTGCAACCGATGTCTGTGAATCTCTTGACCCCACGTCTACAAATCTAGGAGTTATTTGGACTGATTGATAATTCATTTATTTGAATTAATCAATAAGCGATTATTGGCTTTGTAACAAAGACTGTTGGACTGAGAAATTTTTAGACATGTCTGGCCATTTCCACAGGATGGGACTAGGTCATTGATACTGAGTTTTTATGACAGACTCTCGGTAACAGTAACACAAGCCTCATCCAGTCCTCCCTAGAGCGGCCCATAGTTATCAGCAACTACAGCAGTGAGGAACGCATGGAAAAGCTTTCAAGATACCGCAACAAGAAGACAAAGAGGAACTTCGGCAGGAAAATCAAGGTAAAATCCTGATCAATGTTGTTTCTATGGACTCACTTCTATAATACTGTGTAAATAATTGAATGGAAACATAACAGATTGAGATATAGAGCCAAAATTCCTGCATAGCTATGTACTGAAGCAACATTTGCAGTATTTGACAATGATCTTACAAACATTTCACCTTTTCTGATTGACCTTTGTGATTAAACACTCGAGGCTGTTGAAACAGGGTTGGTTGTTTGCCTTATATGAGTGGATGATTTTCTGTCCCGTTTAATAGCTTAGATTAAAAAATGCTGCATCTCCATACTTTAACTATTATAGCATCTCATGTCGATTGAAGCACTTTCTTATATACTTCCAATTTACTGGATTCGGCCCTTGAGCTCATACGTTGCAGTAGGTAGGAAACTGATTAAATGCTTTCGTTTCAGTACGCATGCAGGAAGGCTCTTGCAGACAACCAGCCAAGGATCCGGGGAAGGTTTGCCAAGACCGAAGAATCGTATGCCAAGAGGCTATAACTGTTAACTTATACATATGATAAAATAATGAACGTAGAAATGAAGTAGCCAGGTCAACGATGATGCGATGAAAGAGATGAGATCAGTAGTAGTAGTAGTGTAGTCAGTTTAGGTATTGCTCATCAATAAACTAGACCCCCTAAAATCCTCCTCTGCTAGGTGTTTGATCTCTTATATCATCTGCTGTAATAACAACATCTTCTCTAGACCTACGTATGTACACGGCCAATCTACGAACGGATGTAAATACGTATGTATGTGGAATAATCGGGCCGGGGAAGCAAACAGTTGTACTTGTTCATGTTACATGTTATAAAATGGCAATCTTTTCTAGTCCCTCTCTTCCATTGCTGTAATCTTTTCTTGTGCATGTTATTTGCTAGTGAGAATACAATCCAGTTTGGTTGGTTTCATGTTTTTTGCCCCTTATAAGCATTTACCATTGAATAAAATATTAACTATTGAAGTAATTTGATGGGATTATGTATAGAAACCAAAGCAGTTTCCGGTTTAATTTTAGTTTTCTTTTGTATATTTATTAGTGATGGATTGTTACGGTAGATAGAGTCTTTCTCTTCAACCTACTATATCTTGCATTCAAATAATATTTCAAACCAAAGAATAACATGGTGAAAAGACAATCTCGAAATGGGGCTTGAGTCATACAGTCTAACTGACCCGAAGATTCTAAACCAAATGAGTAGAGAACCTATAACAAACAAAGAAGATTCTTCCAAATTGTTCTCAAACTTTCAAACTCACAAATTGGCTTTCACTAATTTGCCACCAAAATTTGCTACATACTCGTAATTTCAAGTAGTGAATTCCACCCCAAAACCAAAAAAGAGAAATCTTAAGGTCCTATTTACAGTGCATAGTACTTAAATTTCAGTAAGCAATGAGAATCTTAATCCTAATTGGAATTAAATCCAAAATCCTAATAGGTTAGGAAATCAAATACGTACCCTAACAAAATAAGTAAATTATCAAAAATTTATCCATCAAGCACATAATCTAACTAAAAAGTGCGAAACCCAACCATATAGAACACAAAAAACAAATAGGAAGTGCGAGAGGATTTCTCTGCCAGTCTTCGGTCGATTCGCCAAGAACTTTTTAAACACTAATGCTTTGCTTCTGTTCTATCGATCATCACTGCCAGATTCGCCTGGGCCTCACAAATGTACTGCAGGCCAGCCCAGATGCGAGGAAGGCCCAAAGCGTGCTGATTCCTGGAGCCCAAAAAAAACTGAAAAAATAAGTGGTCTCTCCTCCGCAGCTTACACTTCTACCAGTTGGGTTTTCTCCTCAACCGGAAAATATTCCTAATAGCACCGTACCAATAGGTTTCTCCACTACGAGAAAATCTTCGATCCGACTGCCTAACAACGCGAGTGATTTGATCAATTTTATAGAATAACAAATTTTTTATTTCTTGATCTCATCCGACTTTATATTAGTTTCACTTTTGCAAGAGAACTCAATCATACCAATGCAAGGATGACGGCCCTCGTTAAGTATGGCGAGGTCCGCTGACGGCCGCCCATAGTTCACAACTTCACATGCCACTCGTCCAAATAAAATCAGATCGCATCTTAAAAATGGAGGAGAGATCGCGCGGCCATGTCACCACCTCCTTGCTCCGGCCGCTGTCGTCCTGTTGCAACCCTCCTAGTTCTTACCTACCACTCCTAACTATTCAGTTCCAGTTTCTCATACAACTCCATGCAAACCGAACAAGTGCAGTCGAAAGTGTGTTCCAAAATTTAACTTCCAAAAACATGGGATAGAGATGGACCCACAAACATAACATAAGCTGCTGCTGTCGAACCTTTTTGGTGTCCAATTTTAGTAACATTTCCTAAAGTCTTGGAACAGAACTCTTCCGGCTCCATCTCTATGTTGAAACACCATAACCACCAAAGCTTCGTGGAAGAAAGCAGTTGCGTACGCCCGTACGGGCGGCGGCGCAAGCCACATTTCTCACAAGGTGGGACTAGAGAATCCTGATATTTTAATGCATGAAACTCTGTATACAAGCAAACACGTGATCCGACTGCTGGACACAAGATTTTCTTCGTGTCTAATCCTTTACTTCGTAAATTGAACCCCAAAAACATTGCTTGGCGATTATCTTGTGCTTGCAGGTTGACGTTGAACTCCCAAAAAAATTGAAGTGGGAGGTGGGTGAATCTCTACACGAAATCTCCAAACTTTGTTCATATTTTCAAAAACCCATCCACCTAAAAGCACGACCAATCCCAAAAAACAAACACCCACCTTTGTAACATAACCCACAATATAAAAATGTTGGAAAAATTATCCTCACCACTCTCTCACGAGCTATCCATCGATTGAACCAAGAAAAAACTTATCGAAAAAATTGAAGGAATATGTCAACTTTCATTTGGGCATAAAAACAAAGAGAGGCCGTCGAGCCTATTAGTGTAGACTTGGATTACAGATCATTAAAGTGATTGGCTGTTTGCATGAAGTCTAGTCAGATAAAATTATACTGATCTAGGTCTGTTCACTTTTTGAGCAAAATCACACAAAATGTATTCTTAAGCTCTCGAGTTAGTAAGATCCCATATCCGCTATAGTTGGGTAGCCAATCGAAAACAGAGGGAGGCCATGAAGCTATTCAATTTCAGAAACATGTTAGTTTCAACCCAACACCACCACACCAAACCACACTTTTTAGCAAATTTTATTTTCTCTGTACCGCAAAAACAATAAATAATTTGAGAGAAGGCCATCTCCGATCCCCATGGCCATCTCCGTCCCCCGACAACTTCAAAGTTATCAATTTTTTTCCTTTTCCAGGGCTCGCAGATGATTAATTTCCAAAGGTAGTACTAAATTCCTAATTAAACATAAGAAAAATAAATAAAATTAATTATTCACAGACGTCGTCGTATTAATATTGACCTGTTAGCAGGGCAACCAACATGAAACTCTTTGAGAGCAAAATACCCAAATTAACCCCACCAAAATGAAATTGGTGGGAAAATTCTAGATTTCCATTGGTGGAGCTTCAAACTATCATACCCCCCAAAAAAGTTGAAGAAATTTAAAAACTGTACCTATGCCTGCCGCCATGCTCCGGTGACCACCACCAAAATCCAACAAACATCAATCGACCAAACAAACCATCGTACTAAAGTTTGCAAATTTTTTGAGTTTGGTCGATTTAACGTTCGACTAACGCGAATCGAAACAAAACGAAAAGCATTGAACTTGGATTCGATGCCAACACTTTTGTTTCGGATATAAAGTTCCCAACTTCCTTGGAACACAAAAACGTTGCGACATGTTTTGGCCTCTGCAACGAATTTTTTAAAACGAAACAACCTCGAATTAAATCTGCAAAAACAATCACGAAAACAAAAGAACACGGCCGATGAATGTTACTATATTACCAGATTGTCCATGACGACCATGCTCTCTCTCTCTCATGACCTTGCCAGGAAGAATTGCGCTCTATACGCGTCAGGCGCACGTTAGCCCTCTCTCTCTCTCTCTCCCCCAATATAACGCTTTGGAAAGATAACGCCGACCCCCTTCTCTCTCTCTAACTCCCCGCTTCCTCTCTCTCTCTCCTCGCTCTTTCTCTCTCTAAAAAGAGAAAATTTTCCAGGTCTCGAATTTTACTGTTTTCCTTCGGCTGCTTAACATAATTACACTACAATCACAACAATTTGATTTTCTCTCTCTTCTGTCTCTCTCTTCGTATCTCTCTGCGCTCTGAAGCAGTTGGGAAGAAACTTCCTGGATAGATCGATCCCTATTTCCCAATTCAACTTTTTTCTTCTCAATTTCGATCCTTTTCGTCTAATTCTCGAGCATTCTTTCTGCTCTGTTTCTCTCCCAATTTTCTGTTTGTTTCCAGAGAAAAAAAAAAAATCTGTAGCGGGAATCGTTTCAATTATTCTGTTTGGGGAAACCCAATTGGGAATTAGGGTTTATAGGAGATTTGGGAATTGGGTTTTTGATGAAATCAAAATGGTTTTGTGGGTGTTAATGTTGAAGTGAAAATATATACTCTTTTGGGTTTATGGGATTCATCGATTCGTGGGGCCTCTGAATTTTGCATTTTTTGATACAATGATTATCAAGAAGAATCTCAAATCCCAAATGCCGAGTCTGAAACGGTGCAAACTCGGCGAGTCACCGGGTGAGGACGACGATAACTCGGGCAGGAAGAAGAGGAAGACTAATGGGTATTATCCTCTCAGTCTGCTTGGCGAGGTCGCCGCCAGTATTATCCCCGTCAGCCTCCACGGCCTGCTCGGCTCGGTCAGTGCCGCCGAGCCGGGGTTCTCTGCTTCGTGGTGCACCAAAGTCTCCTGCTCCCCCGAGGATGAGTCGAAATCGAAGAACAGAGAGTCAGCCACCACAGCGAAGACGGAGGTTTCACGGCCGCCGCTGGTGAGGACGTCGCGGGGCCGAGTTCAGGTACTTCCTTCTCGGTTTAATGATTCGGTAATTGAGAATTGGAAGAAAGAAAGTAAGACTAGTTTAAGAGATTATAATGTAGATGAGGAGATTGAATGTAAAAAGGAGAAACCTAGCTTTAAAGCCCAGAAATTAGTTAGCCAAAATACGAAAAAGATGCGAAATGTGGATAGAATTGGATATAACAGTAAGAAGTATTCGGCTTTGTATGAAGAAGATGAAGAGGAGGAAGTTGAGGGGAGTGTGCCATTTAAGAGTTTCGACATTAGGAAGTATTCGAGCTCACCAAGCACACTCTCGTCAATGCATGAGCAATTGGGTGACGATGACAAGTGTGCAGTTGTGGAAATAGATGAAGGAAATGGTTTAGTGGAGACAGTGAGGGCTACAAAGGAGAATGGTGAGAGGAAAGATGGCTTGTATGGACCCGAAGACTTCTATTCAGGCGATATAGTGTGGGCAATGCCAGGGAAAAAGGAGCCTTTCTGGCCTGCCATTGTCATTGATCCAATGTCGCAAGCGCCTGAGCTTGTTTTGAGGTCTTGCATACCCGATGCAGCTTGTGTGATGTTCTTTGGATACTCTGGGAATGGGAATCAACGGGTATGAATTACTTTCTGTACGGAGTTTGTCTGTTTTTATGAACTTGTGATGTTTTCATGTTTGGAAGAGTGTGGCATTTTGTTATAAGATTTCGTATCATCTTGAGCAGGATTATGCTTGGGTTGAATGTGGGAAGATTTTTCCCTTTATGGACTATGTGGACAGGTGTGTGGCTATTGTTGTTTCATAAATTTTTGAATTGCAATGTAGTAACCGCTTTGTCGTTATGTAACATTTTGCTTGATATAGGTTCCAGGAGCAGCCTGAATTGA